GAAGATGAAACGTGGCTGGGTCTTCCAACATAACAATGATCCCAAACATACCGCCCGGGCAACGAAGGAGTGGCTTCGTAAGAAGCATTTCAGGGTCCTGGAGTGGCCTAGCCAGTCTCCAGATCTCAACCCCATAGAAAACCTTTGGAGGGAGTTGAAAGTCCATGTTGCCCAGCGACAGCCCCAAAATATCACTGCTCTAGAGGAGATCTGCATGGAGGAATGGGCCAACATACCAGCAACAGTGTGTGCCAACCTTGTGAAGACTTACAGGAAACGTTTGACCTCTGTCATTGCCAACAAAGGATATATAACAAAGTATTGAGATGAACTTTTGATAATGACCAAATACCTATTTTCCACCATAATTTGCAAATAAATTCTTTCCAAATCAGCTAATGTGATTGTCTGGATTTTTTTTCTCATTTTGTCTCTCATAGTTGAGGTCTACCTATGATGCCAATTACAGGCCTCTCTCATCTTTTTAAGTGGGAGAACTTGCACAATTGTTGGCTGACTAAATACTTTTTTTGCCCCACTGTATATATATAAATGAATTTATATAGCACAAGATTAGGGGAAAAAAAAGTTTTCTTTGTAAATAACTTGTTTCAGAATCATGATTTTAGTATCAATTTAACTTGGAAAAATTACAGAATAAAATGCATACTCTTTCATAATCCTTAGCTTTTTCCTGAAACATAAACTCTGGGCTCTGTGCTTCCTCCACAAATGTCCCCCTTCCTAGTGGGGCCCACAGTGTGTTATTCATTTTTTCCTTTAACAAATGGTTTATTGGCAGTTTTCGCAATACACAAAATTAACTCACTGTGCAAATAGAAATAAGGTGTACAATTAAAAATATGGATGGTAACCATATCAAATATGGAAAGGAGCACAATAAGACATACATAAAGAAACAATACATTGAGTACAAAGGTGGTCATATCGGGACAACTCCAGAACAGGAGCTGGAAACTGCCTGGGTAAAGGGTACCCAACAGCCAGGTCATTGAGATAGGGGGTTAAGGAAGAACAAAAATAAGGGACAAAGAAAAAAAAAAAAGGTTAAAATTGGAAAAAGTATAAAGGAAGCGGGTAGTGGTGGAAAAGAAGAGAGAAAGGATCCCAGGGGATCATGATAGCTTAAAGGTTAAATTTTTAGGGAAAGACCTCCAAGGTCACCAGATCTGGAGGAATTTGCCACAGGAGTCCGCCAGTAAAGTCATCAATTTTTCATTAATCATTATATCATTCATTCTATTCTTCACTGATGTAATACATTTTTTATTTATATACTGACCTTTTTAGATGTCGTCAAGCAGGAAACGTGCCACACTGGGTCCTCTTCCTCCCCCAATCTATTCCAGTGATCCTTGGTAGGGCAGGGAGGGGCAATGACATGATGACTTCAGTGTCACTCTCTAAATAAATATACCATTAATGCCATTCACCTTTGGGGACAGGTCTGTTTTCATTCAGTTGGGGTGGAGAAGATGGTGGGGGAAAGCTCTGGATTGAAGGTGCATCCTGATCTGCAGGAGCCTGTTATATTGCTTTTTAATCCTGCTGGGGACCAATTTATTAAAAAAAAAAAAAAAATCCAGAATTGGACTTTAATGATGGCTGCCATCATGGAAGTAATGTTAACCCTATCTTTTGGAAATTTTCTAGTTGGACTGAATTCCTAATCTTTTAGAGCATTTTGTCATGTGTTTTTTTTTTTTTTTCGTAACCGAATCTAGTCAACCAATTACCTTTGATAGATGAAGCAATCTGAAAGGCTTCTACTATATTATTTGTCTATCAAGTCAACATGGAAAATTATATTAGGATTGAACTTGTTTTATTTTGTATCCCATCTTTATTTCTAGTTCTGCATTCACTGCCAAATCATTCTGTCTTCGCTCGTTTCAAGAGAAAAGCGCAGGAGTGGCAAAAGCGGTAATCTGATCTGAATGCGAGCGCGAATCATTATTCAGCGATCGATCTCGTTACGTCGCTGGCATCTCAAGGGTTGAAAATTCATCTATCAATAAAACATGCCGGGGACGGTTACAGCTGGCTCAAATGTGTTCAGAGACTTAGTCTATAGTATGTGCAATGAAAAGACCTGAAACCCTGATGAGAATAGCCAGGCTATATATTTTTATTTTTCATTCCAGGGAAAGAAAGAAATAAAAATTCTTTGTCGCAGTGGGAGATGAGGTATCTGTGAGCATTCAGAGTGCTATGCTGTCTGCTGAATTCAAGCACATTCTTGGCTTTATAAATAAATAAGTGCGTAACTGGGGCTAACTGATGCACATGAAAGGTTTTGCTCTGTATTTCCCAATTGTGGAAAAAGAGTCCTCCACTTTATTCACAGAATATCTTAAAGCCAGGGTCAGCCAGAAGAAAAAGGAGGAAAAAATGAAAGCTAAAAATCAGAAGCAATTTATGTTTCTGGTTTTTTTGTTAATGGAATGAAAGCAATGCAAAGACAGGAGTATGAAAATATGGAGAAATGTCATTGTAATAAGGAATATAAAAGGAAAGGCAAACGTCTCAACCATTTGAGAGGGGTAAGGGGGGGGGGGACTTTTAGCTCAAAATATTTAGGCAGAAGAAACACACCTATCCCCCCCCCCCCCCCCATTGCCCAATTAAACAGACCACAATCCAATAAAGTGCATGTAATCCTCTATAGTGAAAAATGAACAAAGCATATCTTTCTATAGTGTGTACATGTCTCAGTCTATAGTACTTAGTGTGACTATTGTCTGTTCTCTCCTTTCTCTGCATGAGTCACTTCACTATCCTGACACCAGGCAATCTCGCAAGATGCTCTCCCCCAGCACACAGCAGGTGATTGTCAACATCTGCTGTGCATGCTTCCCTTTGAGACTGTGGAGAGAGGGGTATGTCCATTCCCTCCACTCAGGTTTCAGATTACACTCAGCTCTCTGCTCTGTGTTGTGCAGTGTGTGTGATGTCAGATCCCTTCCCCCCCAGCCTTTAGAAGCTCAGAAATGTCCTTTTATCTGTGCCCTTAAATGGCTCTGGAAAAGAGGGGTCTGCAGATTAACAGACACAACTTAAAGCGATACTAAAGGCTTACATTTTTTTCCTAAAAATAACAAACATGTCTATACTTACCTGCTGTGTGCAGTGGGTTTGCACAGAGCAGCCCAGATCCTCCTCGTCTCGGGTCCTCTGCAGACTCTCCTGGCCCCTCTCTCCTTCCTGGTGCCCCACAACAAGCAGCTTGCTATGGGGGCACCCGCTGCTCTGTGTATCCATTAAATGAGAACATTTGTTTAATTTTATGTGTATTACCTGAGGCTAGGCTGACTGTTTATCCCGACACTAGCCAATACTGGAAGATGCCCCCTCCCCCCAGCACACAGCAGGTGATTTACAGTCTCAGCTGTGTATGTTTGCGTGGAGACTGGATAGAAAGATGTGTGTCCATTCCCTTCACTCAGGTCTTGGATTACACTCAGCTCTCTGCTGTGCAGCATGTGAGACATCGGATACCTATACCCTGCCTCTGGAAGGTCATAAATGGCCGCCTGTGATCTTTGTAATTTGAATGGCTCTGGAGAAGACAGGTGTGCAGACAGACAGACACAACTTAAAGAAGAACTCTGGCAAAAAAATATCACCTATTAGTACACCTCCTATACAAAACACTAAACAGTTAATAACATTTTGAAAATCCTTACCATATAGGAGAAAAGTCTAACTGAATGCTCATGTCCTCATTTCTGTAATTCAAAAGACAAAAGCATCTTCTCTGCCAGGGAGGAGGTGTAACAGCCGGGATTATCTCATATCCTCTCCTCTTTTTGCAGTAAAAGGAAACTACAGTTCCCATCAACCACAGGGAATTGTAGTGAATGTGGGTGGGTACACTAGGCCTGTACATGTTGAATGTGTCTGACAGTCCACTGCAAGTGGAGCTGAATGACATCACTGCTTCCTGGAGAAAGAACTACAGAAGGGATGTGCCAAGAGCAGTGGCTGGGGGAATTGGAGGCACAGCAACCACCTGTCTTACAAAGAGGAAACCAAAGAGAATTAATGGTTTGATTTGAAAATGAATAGGCTGTTTCAGAGCAACTACAACTACTGAGTGAACCAAAAGATGGATGACACATTCAATAAAGGTAGGAAATCTGCAACAAGGACATGTAAAGAAGTATTTGCCTGGAATTAGTTTAATTGTATCTGTATTACCTGTGGCTAATTGTATCAGTGTGTATATGTAAGGGTTTATAACCACTTTAAAGTGGACCTTGCAATAAAAAAGGAAAAATTATTTACTAAGACCTCCCCCTATCCAGAACAACACAGTAAAATAAAAAGAAAGAAATTGGGTGGAAAACAATTAGTAAACATACTTACCCATCCTATAACTCCGGACCAAGGGTGACATCACTGTAGCCCGTGTACCGGGGCGGGCTCCCCAAGATACAGTGAAGTCACGAACGAGGAAAGCAACCCCAACACCAGCTTTTGCCACAACAGAATTTTACTTAGATGTGACAAATAAACACAACCACAAATGCTGAGAACATACAATAAATTTACATACACCCAGCCCAAAGGCTGAGACCCTTGTGCTGCACAGCATGGCGCCTCCTGATGGATGAAGGTAGAAAGTGAAGTAATTTACCTACTGGCGGGCACAACTAAGCTGCCACACCTTACCTGTTATTACCCTAAAAGAGCAGGAATCAGTGTATAGGTGTATGGTATGGGCTAGCCTGCGGTGCAGCACAACAGCTTACAATCTTACACAAATCTACAGTATTCCCCCTCCCATAACTGGTCCTGTAGCACGTGCCTGATTATTCCTTCTGAGCAAAACGCCAGTCTGGCTCGAGTTTGTAGGATTTTATCAGCTCTCCAATGTGAAATGTCACTTTAAGTTGTGGAGTCCTTCCAATGATCAGTAACAACACTTGTGGCCTGACACAAACAGAGACCCTAACTAACTAACTATAGGCCTGGACTCAGTCTCAAGGCACCAACACTGAAATGAAGTGCGTGCACAATTTTACCGACCCGGGTCTGCTTTGCATCCGCTGGTGACTGAACAGAACAAATGTCTCTCCAACAAGCATGCGGTCTCGCCGTATATGTTGCTTAGTTCCTCTGCTCTCATCAGCATTCCTGGCAGCAATCTCATCAGCATTCCTGGCAGAAATATCAGCTTCCTGGCAGCAATCTCATCAGCTTCACTTAGCTGCAGTTCTGGTTACGGAGGGATGCTCTCACACCTGGATGTCATTAGATTCTCAGCTCACACGGCCCCCATCATTCACCATTCTCAAGAACATGGCTGCTCTCTCCTCTTCCTGTTCTCTCTCAACTCTGTGTGAAAACTCCACCTCTTCATGAATATAGAAATATCTATGCAGTCTGAGGCTGTGTTAGAAAAACAGTGACATCCTGTGGCTAAACTGAAGAATGTCAGTCAAAACATTTAATTTACTCCACACAAGCAGTATTCAAACAATGAGAGCTGTTTCCCCATCTCACATCACCATATATTTCCAGTGAGATGCTAGGGAACACTGAGCAGCCCAATCCACACATAAAAATGCTCCAGCACGGTGTGGTAGTGTTATAGCACAAGATTTGGACTACTCAGAATATCTTGGGATCTTGCTGGACAGATAGCGATAGTAGTTTCTGCAGAGACCAGGGGGTAGGACTGGTTCACACCACATGCAGCCCAGTGTTTTGTTTTTTTCTGCATCAAAAATAAATGGACAGTAGGTTACATGGATTCCAGTGGCAAAATTTACACTATTGCAGTGCTTTCCAATGTAGTCAACAAAAGTAGAACATTTTTTCTGCCAATAACTGTACTGGAACACGGCAAAATGCATCAAAAGTGCAACGGAATGCATCAGACAAAAAAAAAAAAAAAGAAAAGGAAAATTAAGAAAAATGTAATAAAAGAAATAAAAAAGACATTTGGAAAGCATCATGAATTTGTTGAGAATGAACTGAAATGCATCAAAAACGTGTCAAAAATGCATGTAATCCATTTTAATATAACGCAAGAAGTATGTATAACTAAATTGTTATTTTTTTTCTTTGTTTTGTGGATAAAGTAGGATAGGCTTAAAATCCCTCACAGTATATTTTTGCTGTTTTTTTCCTGCTGTGGTGATTTTTCTTGACTTCCTGTCTTAGTGAAGAAAGAGCCCATCTCTATTAAATGAGGGTAATTCCATTTTTAGACACTTATTGCCAAGACAGGTGTCCCTTATGGAATATTTAAAGTGTTACTAAACCCACAACAGCAAAATCAGTCTGTATATGCAGTAAAGTATGCTGGTTATATTCCTGTCTTCTCTGATCCTCTCTTTCCTCTACTGTCCGCAATCCATCTGCTGATAGAACAGAGCCTTGGGAGCAAGCTCAGTTTGGTGTGTATTGCTAGAGAGTTTTTTTTTCTTGGGAGAGTGCATGTGGTCAGCACAGGGCTAATCAGCACTAACCAGACACAGGTCAGGGGATATGCAGCCTCATAGGACAATCAGGGGAAAATTAAAACTCCTCCTACAAGATTTAACCAGTGCTCTGCTGGACACTGATAGAAGTCACAAGACTGCTATATACTGCTGATGAGAAAATGTATTTAGCAGTTTATATTTAGTATAATAATTGCATTTCCATGTTCTGTGTACTGTGGGAGACCAGATATAGTGCATGCAGGGTCCTGGGTTTAGTAACACTAAACATATCACTTGCTCAGGTGACAGCTGTAAAATGTTGGCTTTTTCTATAACTATTGGGATCAGTGACAATAAGCAATATGAAAAATATAGAAAGTGACTGTCCTCATCAGGGACACTGAGAAAAAACTGATATGGATTATATCCAGGGGCGGACTGACCATTTGGAAACTCGGGCACTGCCTGAGGGCCCGGGGTCAGTAGGGGGCCCCATGAGATGCCCCTGGTACCTTTTTCATAGGCTTTTTTGAGTTTGGGCAAGGACACAGGGGCCCCATGATCGCCTATTGCCCGGGGGCCCCATGAATTGTCAGTCCGCCCCTGATTATATCCCTTCCCCATTCTAACCAAATCTAACAAATGGCTGTACAGGAGGAGGACTGAGGAACAGAGAGATTTGGTTCCAAAAGGGGCACAGTTCTTTCACAAAAGGCAACTATGATTAGGTAAGAGTATACTAGGCTTGATTGTAGGCTTAGGTATATACAGTATACCCTCTAACCAAAAAAGAAGATACCGTGCCAGAATATACTGTACAACAGCTTTTTGTGTTACCTGCCAATTCCGTGTGCATCCAGATGGGAGAATGGAAGCCACTATGCTCTAAGTAGTTCAACAAGCAGCTCCCTATAGATAAAAGCCATGGGGCAGAGACATATTGTGACAGGTTTTTTAGTGATGCACTTAAAGGCTTATCTATGAATGTCTTTTCATAAGACTTATATATAAATACATGATGGTCTATTCGGCAGGAGGCATGCAGAGGTGGGAGAGCATACTGTAAGCTGCTGGTAAAATAAATGAGCAGGGATTTTTTTTAGTGGGCACATGGGGGAGCCTCCAGCACTGACTGTATGTAATGGCAAGGGGTACTAGGATGTGCTGGAGGGTCTACTGATGCTGGCTGCTGGGGGATCTATTGCCACTGAAGGGGGTCTATTTTTACATGAGGTTATATTGTTTCTGGGAGGGGGTTATGTTGCTGGGGGTCAATTGTTGCTGAGAGGGATCTACTGTTAAAGGAGAGGTCTTCTATTTCTGGCTGCTGGAGGGTCTATTAGTGCTGGCTACTGGGAGTTCTGTTGTTGCTGCAGGGGGTCAAATGTTTCTGGGGTGGTATTTTGTTGTGGAGGTCCACTAATGTTGGGGAAGGTCTAAAAGGGGTGGTACTGGGAGGTGAGTAGGGGTGAAACCATGGAAATATGCTCAGAGGTGCTTAGGGGGCGAAGACAAGGGAGGAGTTCCTGCACGTATTTTCTGAGAAAAAAGCCTGTAAATGAGACCTAATAAAACTTGACTCTTCCAGGTCCGCTGTACATTTGACAAAATTTACCTGTAATAGCAATAAAAAAACATGTAATAAAAATAAATAAGTATCAGCATAACCCTGTTTTTGGATGGGGAGGAGTGTGTGTGAAACAATCCTCTCCTAGCAGTGTAGATACTCTGTCCCCTGTAGCACCTATATAAAAAAATGATACCTGGGCCTCCACATGTATTGGAAAATTGGAATTTTCCTGAATTCTTTATCTGTAGACTGCATTAAGAACAGCCTTGAATTGCAAGTGGGACTACTTTGTTGGGCCATTTAAGCGGCGGTCACAACTGGCTGTGAAGTTGGAGGAGCTTGGTGGTTGGTAGCACAGCTGAGGAGCATTTGGAAGAATTCTTCTTGGGGAATAAAGGAACATGGCCAAAATGTGAGTTTTTTAGGGTCTTTGTCTACCCTTCAGGGGCAGTGGGGCTACTTCTGGGGCAGAGACAAATGAATGGAATGGTTCTCTTATGGATGGATTAAAAAGCACTAGGATGTTCTGATAAAGTGCTTGTCAGGGCTCCAGGTATGACCAGAGGTGTGTGGACCGACACAGGGAAACACAGACTTCAGGTATAGCGTGTAAAAACAATATAATTTATTAAGGGCAACACAAACACAAATGCAGTGCAATAAACCAAACCAAAACTAACACAAATACGTACAACAAGGTGCAACAAACCCAAACCTTAACTGATATATATATATATAATATGGAGAACAACATAGTCAGGCGGGCCGGGTCGGTAGCTAACGGGCAGACAAGGTACAAGGAGTAGGCAGAAGATTGGTTAGGAGTAGCCGAGGTTGGTGCAGGCAGAATTCAAGCAGAGTCAGGATCAGGCAGGAAGCAGACAAGATGCAGGTACAGGGGCTCATGGGAACAATACACCAAGGCCCTGACTGCAGGCCTGGCCATTCCTTAAATACACCTCCTGCAATCAGCCTCAGGTGATGGCTTGATTGCAGGAGTGAGCTTCTGGCTGCTGAGAGCACCCGCTGGCCAGCCCTGGTACTGCAGCCCACAAGGCAGGTGAGTCCCACCACCATTGGCGAGTCCATTCCTGACAGTGCTGTTAAACTACTGTATGTTTGATAGCATGTCATGTACATCTTCATTGTTTTATCAGCTTTCTACTCTATTTTTTTTTTAGTTTTGGATAGCTGGGAGATGGATTAGAACACCTGCCAGTTTTTATTTTTGCTATCTGAAAGTAGGTAGGTGGTCTTTTTCCTTTTCCTTGGGGGCCCCCTCAATATACCAACGGTCACACACCTGGACACAGCTACGAGATCTCGGAAGGTGAATGCACTCAAATCACCTCAGTTGCGATTGCAAACACTTCAGTTTTATTGGCATAACATCAGGGTTATTATACTGTAGTCTTTAGGCAAACACACCCTCAGACCATCCAATCAGATACATGTACATTGTTTTTACCTTAACTCAACAATTATTTGTATGAGGTTTGCATTTTCACTCTTCTGCTTTATCTATCATACCATATCTCCTCTAAAGCCCAGACCATGGCTTTAATCTGACCTAACACCCAATTTGTGGTTAAAACTTTTCAGAAGTGAGAGTAAACCTTTATCTGCTTTTTTGTAAGGGTTTGCAAAAACACTCATTTCTACATGAAAGCTGACATAGACAGTTTTGTTAGTGTGCACATATCTCATATATGTATATTAAACTAGCATCTTGTATTAGTGTATATACAAAATGGATTCAGTTATATTCCATTTAATCCTTTCAGTCCCCTCTTTTATCACATAGTGATAACACTTTTCATTGACTTACTCTCCCTATCGTCTCAATCCCATGCATTTCCTCATATTGTTGAAGCAAAACATTCCTCCCTTTCCTTCTCATTAATTCTCATTTTGATACACATGATCATTCAGTTTGTGATGAGGTAACCCCTCACCCATCCTGAACTCCCAGAGGGTTTCTGAACCACTGGCTCCTTTCTATCATATGAAATCTCCAATAGAAACCATAGTGGGACGATGATAATAGTCACTATTGATAAGATAATAATCAGGTTCATCCAGTCCTCACGGGGGATCCAATAGGTTGGATAGCAATGTTCTTGGCGACTTCTTCTGTTGGTTGGTCAGCTTGATTGTGTCTCTCTTGGGAAATCCTTTTTACTCTTGATGCATGGATCCAGGTGCCTGATCCTTCAGTATCTGAACAGCTGTACGTGTAATGGCCACGATCACTGTAGGTTCTCCAAACCGGGGTCTCACTTTTGGATCCAGTCTTCGGATCACCACTTGATCACCTACCTCG